CCGTGACCTTCCCACCGTGGTGGTACCTAGTTGTCTACTTGCATTTTTACATGCTTTTGAACAGCTCGGATGGCAGGAGCTGGGACAAGCGATGGGAGCTCCCTCCGTTGTATGGCTTCGATCTTACGACGGCTGGTCTTCCAACCTTGCAGCACAGAGGCTTCTGCAGTTTAACCTGCAACGCCACCACGTCCCTGTGCTCATTTTAATTTTCCACTAAATGTGTGTCTTTTCAGAACAACAAGACACCCACCCGCCCCTGCTGTGATTGGATTAGGCCCTGAAGGCCTAAGGTGGACCGGGTTGGTGTCTCTCTCCCTGGAACCTCTGCCTGTGGAGAAACTGCAGTTGTAACGCTGGCTTTATCTCTTCCAGAGGGTTTCTCCAATGTGAATCGAATTGAGCCGTCGGGCTCTGTCGTGGGGGCCAAAACCGAACCGCCTTCTGGGAGACTGCCGGTGGCCTCGGGCCAAACTGGGCTCCAGGAGCAGCTTCGCTAGGATTCCTCGTGTGTCAAAGGAGGAGGAGGCCAATAGACTCTTTGCTCCTTCTGTGGATCTGCTGCTGCTCTCTCTATCTGCCCTGCTTCCCCTTCTTGGCCGCTCCTAAGGGGTCAGCACGCTGTAGGGGCTGCCGTGGGGGTGAGTATCCATTCCTCAGCCCAGGAGAAGGGTGGCTGCGTGTCGGAGGGGTGGGGGCTTTCTGCTGCTGCATTCGTGGAGCTTATTCCGCCTCCCCCGCCCCCAACATTGGTTTCCGACCTGCCAGGAGCAACCAACGGTCTTGTGCAGCTGAAACATTGACCAGCTTTATTTTAGAGTGTGTGCATCTCACAAAGGCACGGAGGCTGACAGTCCTTTGTGCAACTGAGCAAAGCGAGGAGTTTTGGGGAAAGAAATGCCAAAAGGAGAAGCATTGGTGATGGTCTTAATGTTCTTGTTGTTTTCACAAGCGCCACCAGGTGTGTGATGATCGGTCTTCAGCTGAGTGTGAGCAGTAGACCAAGGGCAAGGGTGTGATCTCTAGATAAACACTGTTGGTGTGGGATTGTAATCAAAAAAAAGAGGCACGTTTTACGCTGCCAGCCATCGTAGCAAGAGCACAGCGAGCCCACCTTGCCCAGGGGGTGGTCCTGTTTGATCTGCTGACTAACCAGATGTCACGAGGCGAAGTGGGCCCTGAAGGTCACAGCCCCTCCCCGGCTTGGTTCCTTGGTGAGGGCCTCCCCCCCCCCGCCTTCTGGAAAGGAAGGCTGCCTGGGGTTGCCAGAGAAAGCCACTGCTGTTTCCCTGGCTAGTGTGACTGTCCATCTTGTGGTGGGGAGTTCCGTCATTATTGCCCCTTCACCCAGAACCTGGAAGATGTTTGTTTTTTGTGTTGTTGTTTGGTTAGCAAAAGGGAAGATTCTTGATGGAGCCGCACAATAAAGGGTCTTTTTTGAGATCTCTTTTCATCCTTGCTGGATCTGTCTGCTGAGTATCAGTTTCGTTTGGGATGAGACTTTAGTGTCTCTCTCGTCTCGCATAACGCCGTTCACATTTTTTGTAAACGAACCTTCGTCAAGGGTTTCATCTCTAATGCTGTTTGGGGTTTTTTGTGAGGAGGGTGGGGAGACTTAGATTCCTGGGAGCAATGAGGAGCCCAGATCTCAAGGCCCCCCTTCTGACTGCCCTGACGTTCTGCTCAGCTTTTCACCTCATGTTTGAGATCTCAGAGCTCCTGTTTGGCAGCACTGCATGCTTGGCTTGTCTTCCTTCCAGCGGGCAGTTCCGTGTCTCGAGTGGGCTGGCGAGGAAGGGAGTGGCGCCTCTTCCCTTTCCTCGATGGGCCTGCCCCTCTAGCCTGTTGTTCTCCGTGGTCTTCTTCCTCCCAGGCTTCGTGCTCTCTCCAGCGGCGGGAGTGTTGCTTCCCCCCCACCCTCGCCGGCCATGCCAAAGTACAAACTAGCCGAATACCGATACGGTCGAGAAGAGATGTTGGCACTTTATGTCAAAGACAACAAGGTAAATGCTTCGCGCCAGCCTTTCTGCAGCTTCCTGGCCTTTCCTCCAACAACAGAACGTGGATCCCTCTTTGTCCCCCAGGGCCGGGGATCTGCTGCTGTCTAAATTCAGAGATTCTGATGCCTGAGTGTGCCCCTCCTGCCCTCCCGGACATACACTGCCGATCTCAATAGAGCCCTATGGAACTTTATAGACCTCTGGAGAGAGAGTGTGTGCGTGTGTGTGCACGCGCCTGTGCTTCTCATGAACTGGCATTTATTCCCCCGAAAGGGTTAGTTCCTGAATGAAACCAGACAACATTTCTCGACATAACAAATGTCATGTTGAGTTCTTAAGGTCTAAATCTTTCCGCAATTGCAGTCGTTTCTGACAGCATCAGCTTACCTCATTCCACAAACTTTTATTTACCTGTGTTGCTTCCACATTCCACATGCAAAAAAAAAAAATAACCCATTCAACGGTCTTGCAGCTCTGAAAAACCATAGGTGCAGATGCTTGAACTGAAAGCCGTCCTTGCAGCTTGTGAAGAGCTGCAGCTGCAGGAACCGTTCTCCCCTGCCCCGTCTCCTTGTCGGGAGGCTGCATTAAGGCCCCCTCTGACTGCCCAGATCTGGGTGTCCCTTTTTCCTTGTCGTGACTCCACAGTGGCCATGTTTAGCTGGAGTCAGAGGAGTCTCTGGTGTGTGAGGATGTCTGCATGATTCCTTGTCCTGTGTTGTATCGTGCTGTGTCCCTGTCAGTTCTGTAGGCAGGAAACCTTCAGAGGCCCCAGGGGGCTGGCTTTCCTCCCCGGGACTCAAAAGCACAGAAGCTCCCTGGGGTTGGATCTGCTCCAAAAGCACCACAATCCGTGAATTCTGTCGGCTGGCCCTCCTCCTCCTCCTCCTCCTCCTCCTCCTCCTTTAATTAAATCTTGGACCAGTTACTAATTAGTATCATCTAATGGCTTTAGTGTCCCGGGAGTGTGTGTGTGTGTATATTCTCTGCCCACTCCTCTTTGCAGATGGCATCCTCTGTTTCTCCTGCCGCCTCTTTTTCCCTGAAGCCAAGAAGGCTTGGCGTTTCCCGAGCCTTTTAAATCCAGGCTGGCTTCAGGAAGAGGATCCTTTGGTTCCCCTTTTTTTCTGCCCCATGGTTGGGAAGTACAGCTTGGACCAGGGAAATCCGGGAGGGGCCCTGTCACCTTGAGCGGGCTGGCAGCTCACGGGTTCCCCTCCCTCTTTGGCCATGGCCTCCCCCTTGGCAGGTTCCCGAGGAAATCCAAGACAAAGAGTTCTCGGCTATTCTTCAGGATGACCCCCTGCAGCCCCTGGCGTTGGTCCCCTTAACGGAAGAAGAACAGGTACGGAGTGGGTGGGATGGAAGAAAGGCCATCCATCGCCTGGGCAGGGGTGGGGGTCTTTAAGGCAGATAATCTGGAGTGTGTGTGTGTGTGTGTGTTTGTGTCTCTCTCTTCATCTCCACCATTGGGCCTCTCTTTCTTTTTTTAATTGACTTTAGAGGAACTTCTCCATGTCTGTGAACAGTGTTGCCGTGCTCAGGCTGATGGGCAAAGGGAGTGGGGCTGCCCCGGCCGGAGTCTCCCGGGGGAGAGGCAGCACACGAAGCCGAGGTAGGATGATGGTCGGGGGGGGGTTCACAGAGAAGGCAGGGGGGGACCTCCTAGGGCTTCCCCTGGCTGGGTGGCCGAGGGTGGTGGTGGGTGGCGGTGGTCCACGAAGTGACGCCTTTCCCGTCCCCTCCGGTGTTCCAGGCCGAGGGCGCGGCGAGAGCGGCTTTTACCAAAGAAGCATCGAGGAGGCCGAAGGAGCGTTTGGTCGTGGCGGGGCTCGCGAGATCCATCGTAGCCAGAGCTGGGATGACCGGTGAGTCAGGAGGGCAGGCGCTGGGCTGGTGGGAGGCCCAAGGGGCAGGGGTGTCAGCCTCATGGCCCCCCTCCATCGGTCCCCCCCTCCCTTTTCTTTTTTTTGCTTTCTGCCAATCGGCTCCTCTTGCTTTTGTCCTTCTGCAGAGGAGAGCGGCGATTTGAGAAGCCCATTCGAAGGGAAGGAGGTATGTTTGGGAGCCGAGAGCTGTAGATTCCAGGGATTCCCCCTTAGCCCTCTTGTGAAAGGTTCAATGGGGAGAAGTGTGCCGCCTGCTTTGCATCCTTTCCACTCCGGTTCAGGGCCCTCTTCAGTTTTATGTCTCTGGAGACCCACAGATCTTGCTGAAGAACCTCATGGTGGTGGCGGGGATGAGTGACAGTGAGCTCAGATGAAAAAGCATGCTGCTTCTCTATCGCCCTGTAGCACTTAACACACACGCTGGGTGGTTTACAAGTTAATTATACAGGCTTCATATCTCCTCCCCCCCCCCTTGCACAAGCTGGGTAGCCCATTTACTCACCTGAGAGGGATTGAAGGCTGAGTGAACCTTGAGGATGGCTTACCTGGGATTGAACCCAGGCCACAAACAGATTTTGGGCCGCAGTCCTGCAATTGAACCCATGTGCCACCAGGGCTGTGTCGCAGCCCAGCTGCCTTTGGTGCTGGGGTGTGACCGTTCTCTGCTTCGCCCCCCCCTTCCCCCTCTGTTCTTAGCCCGGGCCCCGTTTGAGGAGGGTGCTCCACCAGGCCGCAAGGACTTTGCCCGCTCAGACAGCGACAACTGGCGCACGCTCCGGGAGGAGCACGAAGAGGAGGAAGAGGGCGGCAGCGCGGTGGCTGGGCCCGGGGGCAGCTGGCGGCAGAGCGGGGGAGCCAGGCGGGAGAGCGAGCGCTGGCGCTCCGCCAGCCCAGGTGAGGTTCCTGGGGGTGAGTGTCCCCCGTGGGGATGCCTGGTTGTAGAGAGACCCACGTTTGGTGGCAGGGAAGCCGTCCAACATCTCTGGTTTACCAGGTCCTTCCATCAGCGGCATAGGTGACTTCCTTTCTTTTGGGGGGGTCGACCCTCACCGCAAAGAGTGAGGTTCGCAGCTTGGGGATACACCTAGTGTCCGTGGTCCGTTCTGCCTATTTTCATCTGTGGCGGATTGTCCAGCTGCGACCCTATCTTGATGGCGGGGGTCCCCCTCACTACTCTTGTCCACGCTCTCATAATCTCAAGATTAGACCATTGTAACGCACTCTACATGGGGCTGCCTTTGAGATTGATGCGGAAACTCCAAATGGTGCAGAATGCGGCAGCCAGGCTCCTTAGTGGGGTGAGGAAATATCAGCAATTTCCTCATCTTGACAATCTATATATCCATTAGTTAGTTGGTTTTATTATTATGTATTATTATGCATGCTATTCTATTGTATTTTATCATTTATATAAGCCGCCCCGAGTAGACTTTGTCTAGAGGGGTCTAGAGGGGTCTAAATAAAGTAAAGGGAGACCTTGTCGTGGCTGAAAGGGGGCCTCAGGTATAAGTCTAAATAAAGTAAAGTAAAGGGAGACCTTGTCATGGCTGAAAGGGGGCCTCGGCTCTCTTCTCTCGTCCCCGACAGACGGAGGACCTCGGTCAGCAGGGTGGCGCGAACACGGCGGGGAAGGGCGCCGGCGGAAGTTTGACTTTGACTTCCGGGAGCGTGAGGAAGAACTGCGGAGCGGCCGACGCCACCGGCACAACAGCGACAGCCTGGAGGAGGAGAAGGACGGCCTGCCCGAGTGGTGCCTCGAGGATGAGGAGGAGGAGATGGGGACCTTCGACTCGTCTGGGGCCTTCATGTCCCTCAAGGTGGGCGCGAGGCACCTTCCTCCGTCTCTCCCCTTTGGGGGAGTCTCGGCCCCCGGCCAGAGGATTCCCGAGAGCCTGGCAACATTTCAAGAAACACTGTGGCTGCTGCAGCCTTCTTTCCTTGGAACTTGTCTCCTTTGCCTTCCCCGATCTGATGCCTTCCCTCCAGGGGGAGAAGGATTACAGCTCCCATAATCGGCAGATTCAGGAGGGCTGGTTGAGGCAAGAAGATAGTCCCGTTCTTGGCTCATTTTCCTGAGGCACAGAAAGAACGGACTGCTGTCGTGGACAGACAGAGACGCAGCAGCCTCCGGCACGTCTCGCCTCTCCCCCTTCCTCTTTTGCCCTGGATTGGCCTCTGCGGGGCATCTCCTCCAGCGAGTTCCAGGGTCCACTCTTTTCGGAGGGGGGTCTATGATAGCCGGAGGGCACCAGGCTTGCTCCCCATGAGTGGTGGCTTCCTCTTTGGTTCTTGCAGTCTTCCTTCACATCAGCCCCTCTCCTCCTGTCTCAGCAGCTTGCGAGGGGCATAGGCAGTCCTTCCATTGGAGGAGCTCCACTTGCCCTTCTGGTCCTCCTCACACACGAGGACAAGGAACAGCAAAAGGGTTCTCCCTGGCCAGTGAGAGGCAGGGTTTCTTCTCTCTCTTCTTTTGGCCTGCGCTTTGGGCAAAAGAATTAGAATGTTTTGTTTTTTTGTCTGGGTCAAACAAAATCATGCTAAATGACTTCCCATGGTGTAAAGCACCAGCAGCTGCTGCTTCATTGCATGGGAGTCTTAAGAGTGAGAGGCAAGGAGGGGATGCGTGTGCGCCTTTTAAAACAGCCCCTCGGTCGTTTTATTCTTGCCGTGTGCTTTGCTTCTCAAAGGGAAGAAGCGACACAAATTTTGCACCAATGGCTGAAACTTTGACCAAAATGTAACCCCCCCCCCCCCGAATTTCTCATCCGCTTGGAAGTGACTTGCTGAGCTGCCTCATGACCTCTCGGTGGCCGAAAAGGCGGAAGGCAATGAAATCTGTAGGGGCTCCCCCCACCCCCCAGTCCCAGACTCTGACCCTGGGCCGTCCGTCCCCTCTTCACAGAAGAACCCCAAAGAGGCCGTTCCGGAGGAGCAGGAGTTGAGTTTCCAACCTCTCCAGGAGGAGGACGAGGACGGGGAGGACGAGGGGGAGGAAGAGCTGCCTGAGGCCAAGGACGGCCTTAGTCGGAGGGAAAGTGGAGACGGTCCCCTCAGCCCCGCAGCTAAGGAAGGAGCCGAGAGAGGTAAGGGGCTGACAGTGGCTGGGCTCCTCGGGTTGGGCAGCGAAAGATCACAGCTTCCGGCTGCTGGTAACCTGGCTATCTTTTTCTGCCTCCCAGTCTCAGAACGGAAAGATCCCCGGCCGTTGCCAGATGAGAAGCTGCCGGCCCCGCCTGGCGCCCCGTGGCGCTCGGTGCCCTCTTTCTCGGCGCCTGCCATCACCCCAGCTGGAGAATGTGAAGCCATCAGGCCCGGGGGCTCATCAAAAGCCGAGGGGCCCGCGGTAGCTGCCGGTGACCACCTTGACGTGGAAGCGATGGAGAGTACGTGGGTCTCCCTCTCTCCTCCCCTCTGCGTGTTGAGGCTCGGTCTCGGGAGGCCGACATGGGCCACGGCTCGACCTCTCGCCAGCTGGGCGGCTGGATGAGGTCGAGCTGGCTGGTGCGAGGAGTCGGGTGGTGGGTGCGTGCGCTCAGCAGACATCCTGGGGCTGGGCCGTGATGGAACACCAAGCTTGCTCCTCTTGTCGAGGAGGTGATTCCCCCTTGCCTTCTTTGAATCTGCTTGGCTGCTGGAGAGGAAGGGAGAGCGTCATGTCAGGGGTGGTGGTGGTGGTTTGGAGTAATCATCCTTGTTCTCTTTTTCTCTCTTCTCCCCTCCCCCCCCCGGCCCGCTCATCACTCAGGGGATCCAGGCATCCTCAACCCGCCAACCCAGCTCAGCCCTGTGGCTGTCTCCTCTCTGCCCCCACCAGCCTCCGCCTCCTCCTCCTCCTCCTCCTCCACTGTTGCTGCTACTGAATTCACAGTTGGGGACAACGAGGATGAGGATGGGATGAAGCACCTGCAGCAGGTGAGTCAGGATTGGGGGGGCGGTGGAGCCACCCTGGGGAGCTGGCCCTCCTTTCTGTCTCTCCACTGGATGCCAGCGGGCTGCCTGGGGCGGGTTGATGGGTGGCAGGTGTTGGGCAGGATGCTTCTGGGGGGGGGGTTTCCCATCCGCACTCCTCCCTGTGAGTCCCAAGCAGGGAACCCATGCTCTCCCGATGCTTGTGTGCCTCTTTTCTGCACCTCTCTGTTCACACGCTTCCTGTTTTTTCTCTGGAGCAAAGAGAGGAGAAGCATCTCTCTGCCTTGGGTGCTGCAGCCCAAGGGAAAGCAGGCGATCTCACTGAGCTGCGGCATTTCCTACTGCAGGCAGGGCGGTGATTTTTGGCAGTCACCAGGGGAGGTAGCCTTGGTGGACCCGGCCTCATTCAGGCGGGGTTTTGGCTCGGTGGGTGTCCGTT